TTGGGACAACGCGCAGGCTGGTTTTTACTCCTCAAGGCTCTTTCTCAGAGTCAGGCCTTACAGCCAGGGCTGCAGCTTCTGGCCCAAGTCTAGACAACACACACATGCACATATATTCCGACCACTCTGCTCCCCAGTACCAAAGTTTGCCAGACGTGACCTTTATCTATAAAACTATCCAGCCTGCACGAGGAGGCCCAGGCAAGCAGGCTGAGTGTTTTCAGGTGGGCTAAACAGGTTTCTCAAGCCTGTCTCCTGTGTGCTGCAATGAGGGCCTGTGCCACCCACAAGGCACACTTCTTCAGTGAGCACTCCAGGCTACTACCTGCTTTCTTGTGACTTGTTCTTTCCTTCTGCTTTTCCCTCACTGTTTTTGCTATTTAGTGGCAGGGACCATTACAACAAACTTATTTTAAAACAAACATATTTGAGAAAAGTACAAGGAAAACATCATTACCACAGTGAGCACAAGCCAAGACAACTGGAAGGACCTGAGCACACACTTCACATAACATACTACTTTCTACAACCAATGGCCTCTCTACATATGCAATACCCACCAGCACCGAGATACCCATAACGAAAAGAGGTCTTTGCAGCCTGCTACACACGAAGCTTTCACTGTCCCAGCCAACAGGAGGACAGGGCAGAGCCATGGACAAAAGGGAGAACGCTGGCTTTCAACCAAGAACCAACCCAAGCTGAGGGTCCAAAACCTGCATATGACCACCTAGGGGCATCCTCTCACACAGTCCCCCCAGTCCATCAGCAAGGCCATCTCTCCTCTAAATAACACACCCCAGACTAAAGCAGGAGGATTGCAAGTTTGAGGCCAGCATGGGTAACTTAGCAAGACCCTGTCTGAAAATAAAAAGTAGGAAGGGGCTGAGTATACAACTCAACAGGATAGCAATTGCCCAGCATGTTCAATCTCCGGTACTGGATGCTGCTAAAAAAGATGCCATTACTCATTCAAATCTTCCAAGACATATATCTTCATAAGTAAACTTTGTCATGAATCAGAAAAATTGTCCTGCTGAAATACAGCCTCTCAACCTACAATCTAAAAGCCTCCCTTTCCTCCCACTCTGAATTTTATGAAAAGAAAATCTAAAAGCTACTTCAATGAATATGAGACAAGTCTCCAAAATCCAGCTGTGGGAGCTAACTTAGCACCACTGTCTACAGCCAGCTGTCCTCCTGCCCGAACCACATGTCCCAGGCCTGATGCTCACGGCTCTTGCTTAAAGGTCTTGCTCTTCAGGAGGAGAAACTCCAGGAGCTAAGACTGTCCACTGTGTTGTGCCATCACCAGAGTGTGCCTCCGATACAAAGAGGTGGGGCAGGGCGCACAAAGTTCAGGGTGTTCACAGAATGAAGTGCTGAAGACACACCAGGTGCAAAGATGAAATGCAGCACTGGCACTTATTTTAACCTCAAAACATCAGAAAAATCTAAATAAATGTTGCCAACTCCTCCTAGGCAAATGGACAAATAGCCTGGTGACTTCTAGCCTGACAAAGGACATTAGGGGAGTGCAAGAGGCAGTGCAGCTCCCACACCCGACTTGCTGCTTCCCAATGTGCTCCCAGCCAAGAAGACTGCACTGTGATGCTTAGAAAAGAGCAGATGTGAGCAAGCACCAAAGTGGAAAACCAGTACTTCCACTTCCAGCAGAAACTTTTCACCAGCCACAGCCTTTGGCCTGAAAGACAATTGAGGTGGGTGAGGACTCAGTAAGAAAATTCAAAGTTACCATCTATGGCCTTGACCCTGCATTTGAGACTTATCTTCTCCAACTCCACCTGCCATTAGCAGCACATCAAAATCAACTTGGAACCCAGAACACAGTCACAGTGGCAGCACTAAGAAGGCACATATTTAAAAATAAAGGTTCTAGCCGGGTGTCGTGGTGCACGCCTGTAATCCCAGCACTCGGGAGGCTGAGGCAGGAGGATCGCTGGGAGTTCGAGACCAGCCTGGACTACATAGTGAGTTCCAGGTCAGTCTCAACTACATAGTGAGACCCTGTCTCAAAACACCAAAAAAAATAAATAAATAAAATAAATAATAAAGGTTCTGTTCCATTAATAAGCAAAACAAAAAGGGGTGAAGGTGCATCTTTGAACCTCACCTTCCACAGGCACAGCACGAGCCCACACACACACAGGGAAGGTCACTTCTAAAAGAGTGGGTGCCCACGTACACTGTCCAGCGGATCTGTTACGTATCCCCACGAAATAAGGAGAAATGAAATACAACTGTTCCCATTCTGTAGCTACAGAGACCAGGGCTCAGAAATGATAACTGGTATCTCCAAGATTACAAGCAGGAGGACCTATGAACAACCTGTGAGCCCTCCTCTATCCCTAGCCTGAGGGTGTGCAAGAGGTATATACCAGCCCAGAGAGGAGAAAGGTAAGTGAGCAGGGGAGGAATAACAGGCCAGCCCCGGCGAAGGGCCAGCCCCAAAGTCAGACCTGGAAAGCAGACGCCTGTGAGCAGCCTTTAGTGATCTGAGTTGGCACACAGTACTGCTGTAGATGGGGCCACACAAGAACCTGGGAAACCTCCTCACTTACTGACAGCACAGGAACTCCTCTTACACTTTAATTTCCGGCCTGTACCTTTGTTTAAATAGAACATTTATAGATTACAAACAGTGAAGGTATTTATTTTTTAAAAACGTTATTACTTGCTCTCAATGAGTCCAGGAGACATCTTGTTAGAGGCCAGTCTCTGGGCAGCAGGCTCTTCAGGCCCAGCTGTCACTTTGAGGAAATGGAGGCTAGGAGCCTGGAAGGAGCGGAAGGTCACACAGAAAAGTATTTCCAACATGACACTTTCATTCAAACACAGGCTCTGAAAAGAAAGTAGCATGGTGTGCAACTTGGGGCCCCCAAAAGACTGCACATAAGCAACAACAGAAGCCTATGTGTCACCTCCCAAGGTGGCTGCTGTTTCCTTGAGCCCAGGAATCCCCACAGTCCCAAGACAGTTACAGCTGTCATCCTCAGGACAGGTCTGAATACTAACAATTCAACTCCCAGGTTCAACATTTCTATTCTCACAACTTACCACGCAGTAACCACGGGGCAGAGCTGGGGATGAGGGCATGTTGGCAGAAAGGTGGGATGGCAGAGACGTGGGGGCAGCGTGTTGGGGGTCACTCTGCCAGACCCAAGGGTGCACTGCAGGAGTCAAGAATATGGGGTAAACAAACTTCTTTAAAGCAAGGGTTTACCTGAGAGGTGTGAGAGCTGTTGCTACAGACAGAGCCAACTTGTCAAGGAAAACAAGCTGGGGGCTGTAGTAACTGTGTCCAGTGCACTGCTGGTGTGTGCTGCTCCTATGGGAAACGGAACAGAGGTTTCCCAATAACTTTAAAATAGTGCCACATGTTCCAGCAAGTCCACTTTTGGGTACTCGAAAGAAAAGAAAGTAGGATCCCACAGAGACATTGTACTCCCGACAATCACAGCTCACCTAGCAGACTCCCAGCTGCTGATCTGGGCCCATGTCCTCTCCACGCTCAGGCCAAACCAGAGCACTGGGCAGGCCAAAGTTAGAGTCGGTGGAGAGGGCACGGGCAAGGGAGGAAGAAAATGTGCGGTCAGTACTCAGCAGAGTGCAGAGCACAGTGGCCTCATGCCCGCCCGGAACCATCTATGTGTGCAAGCCAGTGGTCCCACAGACCTGCTCAAGAGCAGGTGTTCAGAACAGGAACACAGGCACCAACTAGACACTTGGGACTTTAACGTGTTTTGTTTCTGGCCTCCAAAAATCTCTACAGTATGGAGGTGCTGGGTGCTGTGGTGGGAGGCTGTGGTGAGGTCATCCTTGGAAAGCCAGACTGGCTCTCAAAAGGTACTCTGGATCCTGGGATGTAGCTCATTGGCACAGCACAAGGCTGGCAAGCTCAAGGCCCTAAGTTTGATTCCTAGTACCAAAAACAAAACAAAAACAAAAAGGCACCCTGATGTTACGTGATGCATTACACAACAAGAGTACTCAGAAGCTCGATGCAAAAATCTATCTTTAGGGCTGGGGATTTAGCCCAGTGGTTCTGCCGCAGGCACAAGAACTGGGGTTCGATCCCCAGTACCCCTCCCCCAAGTCTGTCTTTAAAAATCACAGAGATTTCAACTTCCCTAGCCCAGGCCTCTTCAATGAGGATTCAGAACCACCAGCCCTGTCCCCTACATGCTGGCAGATGGGCACACTGTCAAGAACTGCTAGACTCTGTGGGGTTGCTGATGCCACTTCCTATGTGCCACTTAACTCCTAGAATTTCAGTTTGTTTGTTTGTTTGTTTGTTTTTACACCTAAGATTTTGAAATATTACTCATTGTTATTTTAACTTCTACTAGTGAAAAGAGGATACCTAGTCAATAAAAACAGATGTTAAGCCAGGACAGACAGAGCACACCTGTAATCTCTGCTACCCAGGAGGCCGACACAGGAGGATCACTTGAGCTCAAGACTGGCCTGAGAAAACCCATGGACAGTGTTTATGTTGGTGGCCCTCAGAAGCAGGCACTTCTTCAGTGCTGCAGCGTCTCCACCCCAGAGTGACACGTGCTAATGTCACAAGCAAAGCCAATCATCACTCCATTTATTCGGTGAAGCAGTATGTAACTGATTATCAATCAGCTTACTGTGGAGAAAGCAGAGTTATCAATGATCCAAATCTTTTACTCAGAGCAAATTTCCTAAGTCAACAACTGTAACACTTACTGAGTAGAGATTTTATACTAACAAGAACCTGCATACCTGCTGGACACAGCCTCTCGGCCCAGACCAGGACAGTGCTCTGCCCTGCACATACCACCATGAGCACTCATGCTGCCACCACAATAGCACAGGTGCAAAATGCTCCGGCTCTCTCTCACCACCAGTGTGGAGACGAGAGCACCACAGCAGCCACTCCACCCAGTCCAGCCCATGGACAGCTCTTCAAACAGAGGCGCCCAGCCTGCGTGGAGGGATGCCACACCTACCTCGCACTGAGATGCAGATGGCCACCTCTCCCCACGGCTCCAGCTGCTGTGCCTGGTGCTGCGGACTCCATGGTTCAGGCTATTCTCATCTTCCAAGCCATAGTTGCCAGGCAGAACGGTAGCTATGGGGAGGGCAGCAGTTTGCGCAGCTCCAAGTATCACAAAGGCAATGCCCATCTCTGCATCTCCACAAGGAGCCTGGAGATGAATGGTTTCTCAACTCCCAACCATCTTCACATTCAAGTCTCAAAGACAGCAGTGTGAGACATTTGCATTTTGATTTACATTGCCTTCTACAAGATGCCGAAAGATAAGAAAGATACCATTTACCCCACTCTTACTGCAAAACCCTAAGAACAGGGTCAGAAGTGTCCAAAATCAGCATCATATATTTTGATCAGTTGGTATTTAAGTGCATGTGATGAAAAAAAATTTTTTTTTGGTACCGGAGATCAAGCTCGGGTCCTTGCGCTTGCAAGGCAGGCAGTAGAACCACTGAGCTAAATCCCCAGCCCTGAACTTCTTAAGAATAATATACCACAAGCCTTGAAATGTTTGGAAGATTAATTCATGGAACACAGGAACATGAGTCAATGCTGGTACTTTGAAGAGCTTGGCTACGAATCAGGCCAGGAGGGACAGTGTTCTAAACAGCCACTGCCAGGCTGTGCTGAAAGGTGTAGCACTAGACTGTGGCCAACATAAATTTGCTTCCCATGTGCATGCGCGTGCAGCACAGGGCTCCAGTGAGCAGCAGCAGAGTTAGATCCACCGTGCACTCCTCTCAGGGCTCCTGGCTCTGCAGGATATCTGCAAGCCTCTGCAAATGCAAAGGTGTCTTCTCCCGAAATGAACAGGTGTGTGTCCAGGCCAGGACGCTGCGTAGGTGGAATTAAAGCCACAGGCGCCTCACATCTGCTCTGGGTGGTATCAAATCCCATCCCTGAGGCCAGGCTGAAGTTTGGGCAGGTCCCAGAACTGAACCATCAGTCCTGCTACGCAGTAAAGTATTCCTACCTAGACCACTCCAGTCCCCCCGTGTTCCTCCACACCTCTTCCAAGTGTAGACAGGACTCTGGCATCCTTACCAAGCACCCACACCTTTCTATAGCTCTGAACCCCTATTCCCAATGCACAGAGGGTCAAGTCCCTATCTCTGTACCCAAGAAACCTCAAAATCTCCATTCTTCCTTCCCAGAGGCAGAGGGGTGTGTGTGTGTGTGTGTGCGTGCGTGTGTGCGTGCGTGTGTGCGTGCGCGCGCGCGCATGGGATAGCCTCAGTCACATTTGCCAGCCACAATTATCAGACGGTCAGCAAAGGCCACATGGCAGTCAACTGCTTATTTGGGTCACGTGATCCTTTCCATCATAATTCAACTTTGTGACTGCTGACTTGTGCCAATTCATCTGATTTATGTTCCAGTTACAACTCAGGAACCCTCCTTTGGTGTGACACAATCTGAAACAGCATGCCACAGAAGACTTCCTGCTGGGAGGAGCAGCAGCCAGCTCTGGGGAGCCAGAGGCACCCATCACCAGATCACTACCCAGAAATGCCATTTCCAAACTCAGGCATAAAGACAATCACTCTGAAGATTCAGGGAAAGAAGAAAGTAAAAATGCATAAATTTTGCAAAAGTAATCCTTTTTCTTTTAGAAACTCACTCTAGATGCAAACTTCAAAATGCACGCTCTGCAGAAGGACAAGGAGCTCAGACCTCCCAGGAAATAAAAGGATATGAAGGGGGTGAAGTGGCAGGACTATACCCTCAGATTCATGGGAGCCATCAGGACAAGCACTCATCTGTAGGAAGGGTGCATTAGGCAGGTCCTCAAATGCCCTTCAGATTTGTTTCACAAAGTGCACCAAACATTTTGTACAAAGATTCAAAGACGCAAGTTTCAACAGAACTGATTCTGTGCCGGGTTTAACCTGTAGGTTAACAAATAAGTTTTTCTCAAAGCCAACTCCTTTGTTCTTTCTCTAAAGCAGTAACCATGACACAAGTACAAACACCACCCCCACACCCCACTCTACCTCTTTCAGGACCCTGGGTGGGGCAGGGCGTGGCAGCAGTACACTCTAGAGGAAGGAAGCCCACTGCTCCACCTGCCCAAACTAACCTCAGGCTGCCCCCAGCTCACACTGCCACTCAGAGCCTGGGAAAGCGCTGGAAGTTCTAAGAGAACAATCAAATAGACAACTGGAAGTCTGAATGAAACAATAAATACTTCATAAATGTAACTCAAATCCAGTGGGAAGACAAGTGTCATAGTTTACTAAAACATGCAATTTTTCAGATCAGAAACACATACATTTGCATTTCAATGGTGTTCTTTCATTCTATCAACTGAAGCAATCTCTACGTTTACCCTATGACTTTAACAATCCATAGCAATTTGCTATTTATGCTTAAATGGCAGCCAACCAAAGGTTAAAACTTAGGGTTGTAAAGTTCTAAAATCCTTAAATTAAAGGAAAAACTCAGGAAGCTGACAAATCTGTGTCTAGACTCTAGGGCAACAATCCAAATTATCTGTGCATTCTATTAAATTCCTATGGAATCTCAGTGCAGAGACCAGCTCACTATTATTTACTACACTAAGTGGTCTGAAAGATGGCCCCAGGTTCCAGGCCCTACCCATGCCCACCTGGGACACCCGGACATCCACACATGAAGCCTGAGCTAGACTACTACATTAGACACTCCCTCAAAATACTGGTTTAGAACCGCCCAAGCAAAACCAACAGAAAAACTATGCAGGCGATATAAGATTATAGGAAATCACTACTGTCCTAAAACATTAAGTTTGAGATAGTTTTGTTACACAGTAATAGACGAGACATGCAGACCTTTCAAGGTAAGAACTATCTGAAATATGGGAACTGTGAGATGTTACTTAAACACATTTAATTCAGAACATAGTACACCCTTCGCATGCATGTTCCTTCCCATTTTGCCCTTAAAATGACACCGAGAAGCGAGTGTGATGGCTCATGCCTGCGATCCCAGCACTCTTGGTGGCTGAATCAGGAAGATTCCAAGATTGAGCCCAGCCTGGGCAACTCACTGAGACCCAAACTAGAAATTCCATTTGACCTAGCTATTCTCCCTTCTAGGTATCTTTGCCAAAGTGAAGACATCATATTACAGTAATACATGCACACCCGTATTTTTGGCAGCACAACTCACAATAGCTAAATCTTGAAGTGGCCCGTATGCCCAATAACATGACTAGATAAAGAAAAGTGTGGTATTTATACTTAATGGAGCACTAATCTGCCATAAAGAAGGATAAACTTGAGTCATTTGTAGAAAAATGGATGCACCTTGAGACCATAATATGAAGTGAAATAAATCAGACACACAAGGTAAATGTCATATGGTTTCTCTAATAAGAAACCCAAAGTATAAATAAAGAACTAAATACAAAATATGGGGAGACAGGTCTTTTCTCCAATGGTAAGGGGAGGGAGGAGGATTTAACAAAGTGGCACCACGCCTGCCTCACAAGTACAAGGTCCTGAGTTCGATCTTAGGTACAAAAAAAAAAAAAAAAAAAAAAAATAAA